AAACACCCGTATAGAATTTGTAAAATGACATTTGGTCTACACTGTCATTTTTCATTACATTTTGTTTTGATATTCTCCTGGAATTACTGTTCTAGTTCTTTCTGCATATTTGTGTTTGTATTTATAAATACATAAATACACATCTTAGTGACAGAAGAATGAATTTTGGATTTCTATTCAGAAGTTAAGTATGAAAAAATTATGCATTTTTCCGAATAGGATGAAACGAGGAGGAAGAGACAGTGACTATAATTCATCAGAAGAAGGTACTGCAGAGAAATCCAAGAAATTGAGGACTACAAATGAACAGTCTCAGACTTGTGACTGGGGTAATCTCCTTCAGGACATTATCCTCCACATATTTAAGTATCTGCCTCTTCTCGATCGGGCTCATGCTTCACAAGTTTGCCGAAACTGGAATCAGGTATTTCATATGCCTGATTTATGGAGATGTTTTGAATTTGAACTGAATCAACCAGCTACATCTTATTTGAAAGCTACACATCCAGAGCTGATCAAACAGATTATTAAAAGACATTCGAACCATCTACAGTATGTCAGCTTCAAGGTAATACTTTAAATCCTTTTAAAATAAAATGTATTTAGTGGCTTTTATATCCTAAATCAATACATCTTTTCATGTATTTGAAATGTTGCCTTTTTGGGGAAAGTGCTTAAAGATTTAGAATTATCTTGTACCTCTAAAGCTGTCACAAATAATTATATTTGAGCTCAATTACTCCATTTTATTATAATTATTAAAGTCTTCAAGGAGTAGGAGCAGTAAGCACAAATCTTTGACCAAAGCTGTCAGTCACATTGAATTATTGCAAACAATTTGAGGAAAAAGAAATATAAAAAATTTTTAATATGGAGATTATAATTGACTAAAATTTGTTATTTCTATTTGATGGAGACTGAGTTTGCTTATTAATTGTAAAAGGTTTAGATAAATATATTTTAGGGAGAGAAAAACATAGATGGAAGAATGCCAAAGAGAACTGTTCCTTTCTTTTCATTGCTGGAAGGAGCATATTGGAAATTATTCAGTGACGAAATAAATGAAGTGGCTTTTTGAGATGTCCAGAATAGTTTAAGGAATCGCAGTGGTTTGTATGAGTACAGAGGCTTGTAGTGTTTTGTTTGGGGGATGACTAATGGAATATGGGTACGTTTATTAAATTCTTAACACCCTTGATAATTGTTGGAAAGTAATGCATGAATACTGATATGCTTATATCTAGCACTTGTTATACAGGTCAGATTAAATCTAGATAAAGCAATGATTTTTAACCCAGAGTTCCTTACGAAAACTAAAGTCTTCACTAAAATGTCATTCCTTCTTAGATGGAGATTACCTGCTTATTCACCCAGATATATCAGGAGGAGAGACCTGGTGATGGGAATGATTAGGCCTCCTTCCCAGAAAAATGCGTAAAGATATTTAGGCCACTCGGAGTAGGATTGCTAGGTTTAGTAAATAAAAATAGAGGCTGCCTAGTTAAATTTGATTTCAGTTAATAAACAAATAATTTAGTATAAATATGTCCTATGCATTATTTGGGACATACTTAATACTTATTTAATTAGATGTCCTGTATGTTATCTGACAGCCCTAACGAGGAGCAAAGGTGTGGAAATGGTAGGAGACTCAAACAAAAATTCAGGAACTCTTCATATGTTGTTTCTCCCCTTCCTCTCCGTGACGAAACCTGAACAGCCTTCCCTTTGTTTTGTCATCTTTGAGTTGTCTTAAGTGTTCTAACGGTAAATCCTATAAAAAGATGAGTATAATATGTTAATCTCATAGGCCTAAAGACGAGTTCTATCCAGTGTCTTGGTGGGCCAATGTTAATCTTTTATAGCCCTATGACAAAATTCAGCTATGTCCAACTTGTCTAACCGTCATAAAACCATTTGTCTTATATGTAGGCGTTTTTATTATTTTGTTTCTTTTGCTGAAGAAATAATTTATTTACAAAAAGAACCACATCACAGGATTCTTTTGAGCTCTCCTGATAATATTTGTATTTAATTTATCACTACGATAGACTAAAGAGGCTTTTAGTCAGTTATTAGTGACGGATAACGATGATTGTCAAACTTTGTGTGCATCAAAACCACCTCGAGCTCTTGTTGAGACAAAGATTGCTGGGTCCCACCAACAGAGTTTCTGATTCACATGGTTTGGGTTGGGCATGCGAGTTAGCGTTTCTAAGAAGTTCCAAGGTCATTTTGATGCTGCTGGTCCAGGGACCACAGTATGAGAACCACTGATGTGGAGAAACTTAGCCAAAGAATAATTTATAAACAGCTCTGAAATTTTAATATAAAGCAGTACATCAGTTTTACAACCAGATCTTCAGGACGTTTTTGGCTTATACATCAATCTGGAAATAAAAGTAGTGATACTACTTTTAATTATTCTAAGATGCCTTTTAGCCCAGAGAACAACTTCCTTTTTGATAAAAGAGCTTCTTATATCCTTCTTATATCCTTGAGTTTTTTGGCCATATTACCCTTCTCCCAGGAAACATCTATGCAGAAGAGTGTGTAAGAGCTGCTACTTCTCATTTGATTCTTGTTTTTATGACTGACTGGTTGGAGGCGCTCATTTTACTTCACATTCATATTTCCATTAATAACATTAATGCTGAAGCTCAGGTTTTGATTCAGTTAAACCTTCTGTTACACATTCTGATGTCTTAAAACATTTGTACCGTAGACACTGTATTCGTATGTATAATTGGCTCCACTACCAAATATATAATTATTTTTCAAAGATAAATCCATGCATTTCATTAGGTTATGTAGTCAGTTTGGAATAAAACTACTTAAAAGCCAAGTCTTTTCATTATATATCTTATAACAAAAGTTAAGTCTTGACAGTTGTCCTAATAATATTCAGGAGTAATAGTGCCGTAAACTAATAACTACATTTCTTGCTTTTGTAAAGTTACGATATGCACAGAGATAAATATATGGATAAAGGATGTTTTCTTTTTAAAGGTGGACAGCAGCAAAGAATCAGCTGAAGCAGCTTGTGATATATTATCGCAGCTTGTGAATTGCTCTTTAAAAACACTTGGACTTATTTCAACTGCTCGGCCAAGTTTTATGGATTTACCAAAGGTATCTTGCTGGTTTTGTTTTCTTAGGTGTTACTGAGAAATCCATCAAAACCCTACCCTTTTCTTATACTGACTGTGGCGTGTAAGTAAAGTAGTATATTTAATGGAACACCAGTTACTATTTAGAATGTTAGACAGTAGGGTTTTTTTTTTTAACCTTTTCTTTTTCTTATCCTTGTGCTCCTTCATGGTTAAGGTTGAAGAGTGAGTTGAATTTGCAGAGACTTCTATAGAAAGTACTAAGAGAGACAGAACTGAGAAGCAAGCTTATTAGAAAAAAAAGAGGTATACAGATGCTTCTTTTTGGATCTTTAGAGCAGACTGGTGAAATTATAATCAAAGAAAAGTAGACCCTTGAACAATATAGGGGTTAGGGGCAAGCAGTCAAAAATCTGCATGTAACTACAGTTGGCCCTTAGCATATGCATCTTCCCAATTGTGGATCAAGTATAGTTGACCCATGAACAGTATGAGTTTGAGCTGCATGGGTCCACTTATACACAGATTTTTCAGTTTTTTTTATTTCAGTTGAAAAAAACTCATGTATAAGTGGACACATGCAGTTCAAACCTGTGTTGTTCACGGGTCAGCTGTACTTTCTTGGCTATTAGCCTGCCCTCATCTCTTTTCACTGATGTAGTGAATTTATGAAGCTAGGTGGAGGATGAGGTGCTATGTAGAGGAATGTGTGGTAGCATGTATTGGCTTCTCTTTCCTTACTTTCCTGGATTCTTTGTCCATTGGTTTGGATTCTTAGTTCTTATTCAGAGTCACATACTTTGACCATGCTTTAATTCCTGTTTCCCTGTAGTGGCTCCTTTAGGTCAGATTCTGTGTCCAAATGATACTTAGTAAATATATAATAAATGGAATGATATTAATTGGTACATTTGTAGAAAAAAAATACATTGAAATAAAATAGGTTTGAAAATATTTAACATTTAAAGTTTTAAATTTGGAATGTTATTAAGATATGATTATTATTTTAGAATAAAATTTTATATGAGTTTCCATATTTCAAATGAGTCATAGCTTTTGAATTGGTTGACTTATTTTAATTTTTAATCATTATGCTAATAGTTACTACTATTTTAATGGTCATTACTGTCACATCAAAAAATAATGTAATTCAGTGTTACAAAATGCCAGAGTAGTAATATGAAGTGTCTGAGAGGTAAGCTTATCCTGGATTCTAGAATTTCTTTTTCCTTAACCAGTGATTGTGTGATTTAGTGATTTAGAGACATATCCTGAGTCTTGAAGTCTTATTTTTCTCCCACAGGTAAAAAGGCTCTTCTTAAATATGGCAGATAGTCAGCTCTTTTTATTTTACCATATTCCCCAAGAACAGAGTGAAGAGGATGCTCCCCTAAAACAATTATGAAATACATCATTGGAGTTCAAATGAACTATATGTGTATTATATGACAGTTCCTTAATTCTCATTTGTAAGAACTGAAACAATGTTTTATTTATTTGTTTGTTTGTTTATTTATTTATTTATTAATTTTTGCTTTTCAGTCTCACTTTATCTCTGCACTGACAGTTGTGTTTGTAAACTCCAAGTCCTTGTCCTCGCTTAAGATTGATGATACCCCAGTAGATGATCCATCCCTCAAAGTACTAGTGGCCAACAATAGTGACACGCTCAAGCTGCTAAAAATGAGCAGCTGTCCTCACGTCTCTCCAGCAGGTATGTTGTATTTTTGCCAGATAACATTTTAGTAAAATGTATCGATGTGTTAATCAAATTAAGAAAAACTATAATCATTACCCTTAAAGGTGGGTTAATATGATTACTTCATTTCTTTTGCATAAAAATATTTTTAATGTCAATACAATAGCATAAATTCTGTAGCATCGACACTTCCAACTTATTTTCTAATCATCTTATTTTGCAATTTGTGTCCAACCTGTGCTAGAAAATGAATAAAAAAATAAAAATATAATATGAGGTCTGCCTGAGGTGCCTTTTAGGTAAAACAGAATTTTCTCTAATTGTAGTTGAACTAACGATAGATTTTAAGTCAGCACAATATCATAATTGCTTTTCTTCTCACTATGGAGAGGGAAAAGCATTGTGCTGAAGTTGTTGCCTTACATTTTGCAAGATAATTTTTGTAAGTTGAATTTTGGGACTAAGGCTCATCAAATGGAGGAATAGCATTATAAAAGCTCTTTATAACTTACCTTGTGTAGATTTTTTTAAATATTCTGTATTATTCAGTTTAAAATCATTTAAATTCCCAATGGTTTGTAGCGTAAGTATAAACCCATTGTTTATATTACTCTCTCATGCTTTACTCCTGACTCATCTCCCACTATTGATTTTCCTCCCATTCTTTTAGCTGCGTTATTTGGGAAACTTGTTTTTCAGTGAGAGTGTTAAATCTTTGAGCTCTTTACAGAACACTTCTTGCCATAACTAAAGCCTGGCTTTCCTCCAAGAAAATGATTCCCTCTTGGAGGTTACTTGCTCATTCTCCTGTCTCCCACGTGAAGGATCTTGGTGATGGGAATGGCTAGGTCTCTTGCAATACAGTCAGCCCTCCACATTCCATGGGTTCAGCATCTATGGATTCAAGCAACCATGGATTGAAAATATTCAGAAAAAATGTTATGTTGTTGCCGACGTGTACTATGTAGTTAGGCCTATGATGGGTATATCTGTACTAAACATGAACAGACTTTTTCTTGTCATTATTCCCTAAACAATGCAGTATAATAACTATTTACATAGCATTTAGATTGTATTGAGTATTATCAGTAGTCTAGAGGAGGTTTAAACTATATGGGAGGATGTGCATGGGTTATAAGCGAATACCATTTCATGTTATATAAGGGACTTGAGCGTCTGTGGATTTTGGTATCTGTGTAGGGCTGGCGCGCGTGCGTGCGTGTGTGTGTGTCCTGGAACCAGTCCCCCAGAGATACCAAGAGATGACTGTATTTTCCTAGCTGTTTTTGCCACTTCTAGATTATCACTAATGATGATAATCTAAATGAAGAAGAATGGGTTTTGGCAGTTACTTCTGTATGTAACCTTGGTCATCTTTTACTATCTACTGTATAGGTTTGCTATGAGAGTAAGGTTCATACTTTATAGCTTCATAATGTACAAGGTCCTTTGTACCCTGACCTCTACCTCTTTAACTATATTCGCTACTCATGTGCAGCTCTTACTTGAGCCCTATGTAACTACAGTTCTCTGTACTTTGTGTGTTGTCAGTACGTTGTATCTTGTGGATTACCTCTTTCTGTTTCCACTTCATCTAGATAACTCCAGCTTTCAAAATTCAGCTCAGATGTTGCAGTTTTATTCCTGTTTCCTCTTCCTCTCTGGTTTGGATACCCTACCTATTGTTTCCATAGTACTGTGAACATAACTTGTAGCACTCACCACACTGAACTGTATGAGAGCCTTGCATCTCTGGTTACTCTGTGAGACTGAACTCATTATTCTCTTTATCCTAGTACAGCCCATGTTCATTTGTTTTTTATTAAATGTACGTGTCAGTTCCGATAGTATACTATAAGCTTGCTTGATCTGACCTAATAACTTTTGGATTAGTTGTCGAGGAAGGGAAAGGAAGAGAAAGAGCATTTTTATGAGACTTCTTAATTTAAGAGTATAATTATAGAGGACTTCAATTTAAAATGAACATATTTGCCTCTTTTCTTTCTATCTATATTTTGCACATTTGGACATTTTTCTCTAAGTTGAAATTAAGGGCTATTTTCTACATTGAACATCTTATCAAACTTTTTCTGCATTTCATATCCTTATCATTGTTACTGGATCTCTAGGCACCATTTGACACTCGTGTCTATTGCCTCTTTGATATCATACTCTTGATTTTTTTCTTTCCTCTCTGATTTTTCCTACTGTCTAATCTGCTGGTTTTTCTTTTCGTTACTTAAATTTCGATGCTTCACCGTGTTCTGTATTGGGTCCTTTTTTATTTTTTTATGGGCTATGTCATCATCTATGGCTTCAGTTTACATTCTGTATATTAATACCTCCAACTTTTGATGTCTCTGAGACTCCAGAGCTGTGTATTGAGCTACCAAAGGCCCAGTGCCTCTAGAATGTCACACTGGTACTTCAAACTAATGAACTTCCTTTCCCCCTTTCCAAATCTCTTGCCTTTTACTAATTTAGTGAATGGCATCATCCATCTGGTTGTCAGGGACCTGATAGACATCTTTGTTCTATGTTTCTGTAGTCAGAGAGGTCTAGTGACTGTGTCACTGAAATATGCCTCAAATTTCTATGGTACCATAGAATAAATATGTGTGTTGTCATCTCTAACCCCTCTCCCCCACCACCTCATTAATATGCTGAAGCCCTAATCCCCAGTGGGTTGGTATTTGGAGGTGTGTTAGGAGGTAATTAGGTCCCGAGAGTGGGGCCTTCATAAATGGGATTAGTGCCCTTATAAGAAGGGACAGGAGAGATGATTTCTCTTTCTACCATGTGAAGACACAGCGAGAAGGTAGCCATCTACAAATGATGAAGAGATCTGGCCTCACCCAAACCTGACCATGCTGTCACCCTGATTTTGGACTTCCAGCCTTCAGAACTATAAAAAGTAACCGTTTATTGTTCAAGCCCCCCAGTATATGGTATTCTGTTAAGTAGCCCAAACTGACTAAGACACAGTATCTTTCTTCATCTCCTTTCTTACTGCTCTAGTCCAGGCCCCTACAATCTGTGCTATAACCTCTTAATTGATTTTCTAACTTGCAGCCTGGCTCTTCTCTAATCTGATTTCTGTGCTACAGCCAGATCTTTCTAAAATATAAATCTGATTTTTTTCCCTCCATTTTCCTTCAAAACTTCTCACTATGCTTTAGACAAGATTCATACTCCTTACTGAGGCTGACAAGGTCCTGTATGATCTGGTCCTTGCTTATCTATCGGGCTTCATTTTTTAAGATGTTCTCTTACTTGGGTACTGTGTGTTGAGGTCCCGTCAGTTCTTCGAATGCTTGCATTTTCTTCCATGTCTGGATGTTCATATGGGAAATAACATTCACTTTCCTTCTCCACTCACCTTTTGCCCTGCTTGATCCTTCTAATTCTGTAGGTCTCATTGTGTTAGTTCAGAAAATTTTCCCTGATTCCCCTGTGACTCCTACAGCATTCTCGTTTAATTATCTGCTGTCTTTTCTTAGGATGTTTTGTTCCTGTTGTATTTTTCCATCCTAGCACCAGTACTTGACAAATAAGACATTCATTATCAGCTGAACTAATGAACATTAGTTACTTAGTATTCTATCTTGCTGGTAAGCCAACATTTGCCTTATCTTTTAGGATTGGACATTTAACTTGTTTCTACATTTCTGCTGATTATTAAAATGAACCTTTTTGGCACATAGCAATTTATTTCTCTTAGTTTCTTCCTAAAGACAAATTATTAAGAAGTTGAAGAACTAGGTCAAAGGGTCTGGATCCTTTTTAAGCTTCTTGCTGTGTTTTTTTTCCAAGTGAGTTGTATGAATTTATAATTCCACCAACAGTGGATTTCTATACCAGTTTCGTAACAGCTTTATTACGATATAATTCATATACAGCTTACAATTTGTTGGCTTTTAGCATATTGACTTAGTGCATCTATTATTAGAATCAATTTTAAAACATTTTTATTATCCCCAGAAGAAGCCACATACTTCTTAGCTGTCACCACCCCCTCCTAACCTTCATCCCAACGAGGCAGCTGCTAATCTGCTTTCTATCTCTATAGATGTGCCTATTCTGGACATTTCATATAAATGGAATCACACTCTCTGTGGTCCTTTGTGACTGGCTTTTTTCACTTATTGTGATTTTCAGGGTTCATCCATATTGTAGCATGTATCAGTATTTCATTTATTTTTATTGTCAAATATGCCTTGTGTGCATATGCCACATTTATTTTTTGATCAGCTGGTGGATATTTGGGTTTTTCCCATCTTTTGACTTATGAATAATGCTATGAGAATTCATATACAAGTTTTTGTATGGACATATGGTTTAATTTCTCTTGGGTATATACCTAGCAGTGGAATTGCTGAATCATAGTACCTGTTTAACTATTTGAGGAACTGCCAGACTTTTCCAAAGCAGCTACACTATTTTACCTTTCTACTAGCAGTGTATGAAGATTCCAGTTTTTCCACATCTTCACCAACACTTGTTATGTCTTTTTGATTATAGCTATCTTAATGGTTGTGAACTGGTATCTCATTGTGGTTTTGTTTTGTCTTTTCATATGCTATTGATCATTTTTATATCTTCTTTGGAGAGATGTGTATTCAGATCCTTTGCCTATGTTTTAATTAGGTAATTTGTCTTTTTATTATTGAGTTGTAACAGTTTAACAGTTTTATCTTTGTCACTATTTTGTGTTAAGTATAAGTAAACACTTATAACTATATGTATTAGTTTTTATTGCTGCATAACAACTACAAATTTAGCAGCTTAAACCAACATCAACTTATTAGCACCATAGTTCTGTTGGTCAGAGCTATAGCTATGGCTCAGCTGGCTTCTCTGCTTAGCCAGAGAAGGTCTGACTCTCTGAGTTCCTTTTCTGCAACCAGCCAAAGCAAAATCGGTTTTGCAAGGTTTCATGCAATTATATTAGGACCACCTGTATAATCTTATTTTAAACCTAACTGTGCCATGTAACATATCAAAATCAAGGGAGTGCTATTAACATTCACAGGTTCCAGGGATTAGGGTGTGGAATCTTGGGGACCACTTTTAGAACTATGGCTGCCACAACCGTTTTAGTAATTATTAAATGATATCTCAAAGTTTCTTTTATTTGCATCTTTGGTTATCATTTCCTATGTGTTCGTTTTCTTTTTCTACCAGGCTTTATGAGATTGCAAAGAACAGAGCTGTGTTTAGGTTACCTTGAGTGATCAGGGTTTTTTTTAAAGTATGTACATACCTTGTGGAGAACAGAAACTTTGCAGTGGCTGAATGGTGAGGCACAGATGTCTTTTACTCCCTCTTTTGGTGACTCTTATACTGGTGATTCATTTTCTCTTTTCACTGATTCTATTGCCTGCATTATCTTCCCACTGCTACAAAGCTTTCGGCTTACTGGTGGTCTCAGCCTTGTCACTTCTTCAGTAGCAGTTAAGTGCATGAACTTGAGTCACTCATCACTAAGTCTTTGTTTGAATTCCAGCTGTGCTGTCTTTAGCTAGCTGCCTCAATTTCAAAATAGAAATACTTTTCTAGATTTTTTTTTATTTGTAGGATAACATATAGTACCTCATATATCATACTTGTATAATAAAAAGTAGAAAATATGATGTGTTTTGTTGTTCCTATCCTTCTTTCTAAACACAAAGAAATAGTTTTAGTGGGTTATTTATCAAGTAGTGTAAAGTGTGTCATCAGGGCAGAGTTCTTAGGCCACTTTGGAGATCAGATATTGTTGACCTTTGGTAAATCATCTGCTGCTTAGGGGTTTGGGGCAGTTTTGAAACATAGTACCCTAAGCATAGGAACCACTTAGGAGGAAACTGCTTTCTGAGTATATTAGAGCTTTAAAAGTCATAATGTATATTTCAATTAATGTGAATTGGGTAGTTATCTTTTGACTTATCTAATGGTATTTTAGTATTTTCCTAGAAATTTGACAAGCTTATTATATACTATTAGCAGTTAAACTCTGCTCATTTGATAGAAATCTTTTTTCAGATGTTTTATTTAGTTATATAAGTCATGTTTTATATGGTTTTACCTTATTTATTTTTGTTAAGATAGGTTTTGAATTTCAAAACATGTCCTTTGGTGGCTTCTGTTGCAACAATCATGTAATTTTTCTTGCTTAACTTATTAGAGCTTGTAATCAGTTTTTTAAAATATATGACACTACATTACTGGGGTAAACCATAGTCATGCTATATTTTAAAATATACATATTAATAATTTATGATTTTTCTGAATTGATATGTGAGCTTCATTTCTTTTTAAGGTATCAGATTTAGAATTAGTCCCATTTTCCTGTAGACAAAATTAGTAATAGATTTTTAAATGTTTGTGACTTAATTTCTACTCCTTCAACCATACAACTAAATTTTAAATTGTATAGCTTTGTGGTAAGGGAAATATGGTGAGATTTTATTGTACTTGTGGTACATGTACTTGGTTAAATTTTTGAACACATGTTAAACTTGTACAGAAATTTGTAAATGGGTCTTTTTTCTTCCAAGGTATCCTTTGTGTGGCTGATCAGTGTCATGGCTTACGTGAACTGGCCCTGAATTACCACTTGTTGAGTGATGAATTGCTGCTTGCTTTATCTTCTGAAAAACACGTTCGATTAGAACATTTGCGCATTGACGTGGTCAGTGAGAATCCTGGACAGACACACTTCCATACTATTCAGAAGAGCAGCTGGGATGCTTTCATCAGACATTCACCCAAAGTGAACTTAGTGATGTATTTTTTTTTATATGAAGAGGAATTTGATCCATTCTTTCGGTATGAAATACCTGCCACCCATCTTTACTTTGGGAGATCAGTAAGCAAAGATGTACTTGGCCGTGTGGGAATGACATGCCCTAGACTAGTCGAACTGGTAGTGTGTGCTAATGGATTACGGCCACTTGATGAAGAGTTAATTCGCATTGCAGAACGTTGCAAAAATTTGTCAGCTATTGGACTAGGGGAATGCGAAGTCTCATGTAGTGCCTTTGTTGAGTTTGTGAAAATGTGTGGTGGCCGCCTGTCTCAATTATCCATTATGGAAGAAGTTTTAATTCCTGACCAAAAGTATAGCTTGGAGCAGATTCATTGGGAAGTGTCCAAGCATCTTGGTAGGGTATGGTTTCCAGACATGATGCCCACGTGGTAAAGACCAAATGATGGAGGCATGATGAATAGCACCTTTAAGCATATTGTATTATAATAAAAGTTTATTTCCTGTAGTTCTATTTTGTGGCACAGAAATTTGATATCTGCATTGAATATATAGGATTGTTTATTGGAAGACCTATGGGCCAGTTTTGGTCAGAAAACTTGATCTGTTTCTTTAGCCTAATAGCAATCAAATTGTAGAAAACTTAAAAAAGTTCAAAACTGAAAGTAATAACCTATTATAAAGATTAACGATCTGAAGGAACAAAACCTATGTAATATCCAAGTGAGTACTAATAGGTTTTCCAAAATGTTATGTTGTCTGTGCATTTTTTAAGAATGTAAACGACATTTTAGGGTCTTCAGTTATACATACACCTGTTATAAGGTGTTTAATATAGCTCAGGAAAGTGAGCATTTTGTGAGAAAAATGTAGGATATTTCATATCTAATGAAAAAGGTTGGTTTAATGTTCTCAGATGTTACAAAGCTATTTAATGAGGTATATAAATATATGAGTAATCAGAACACTTAGAAAACTGATATGTCACACAGTGGTTATTGTAGAAGGATAATAAACAGCCAAGATGAAATCAAAAGAAAATGAATAGAGGGGAGGCAGTGTTTAACTTTGTATAAACTTTTAAATTTGCTCTATAATCTGCTAAACAATATAAATTCTTTTCGGTGACATGTTACTCTGTGGCACTTGAGGCATCATATGTAAAGTAAGGAATGCTTTACCAGTTCTCCTTGATTTTGTTTCTTTAAGCTAGTTTTGAAATATTATTCAATAATTGAGATGAAAAGCTTATCTATTTAAAAAAGACAAATTGAAATAATTAAAGGTAGAACTTTAAAATATTTAAAAATTGTTTCCATGAAAGAATATTCGTCTCCAGTGAATTTTAATGATGGTTCATTTTTCCATTTTGGAATTAATGTAGTTATGTGAGAAGGATTTTCAAAAATCATAAAAGCACCAATGTACAGTTCAGCATAAGCAGTAAATTTTTTAAAAGGATATATTTAAGTTCATAATCACATTTTTTAGTAAATATTGCTCGGATTGAAAAATTTTACTAGAAAATGTCTGCAGTTTTGTGATTGTTAATTTGGTTAAACCAATATTTTATATTAAATTAGGTAGCATTTTTATTACTTTCATATGAAAAAGGGTAATCCATACATTGTAGAATCTGTAAAAATATTAAGTTTGGGCTACATTTAGTTTTTTTAGATACTATATAAACTTTGATTCTGAGCACTAGTGCTAGTCAGTATTACCCTCCTAAGGGAAATTCAAAGTGATTTACCCCCAATGGAATATGTTAATGCTTCAAACTTTTATAAAGCATTTTAGTAGTTATGGAAGCTTATAGATCTAATCTATTTTTAAAACAGCTTCCTTTCCTAAAAATAAAGGTGACTTTCTACATAATTTATGCTTTTTAAAATTGATGGTATTCTGGCCATCAGTTTTAAGAATGAGAAGAAAAAAGGATGATCCAGATTTGTAAGTTATTATACTATTCCCCCCTTCTTAACTATAGTAAAAAGCTTTGATTGTACAAGAAATTCCTGTGTTAGTGAATGAAGCTTTTTTCCCTTGAACAATTTTGGAAAATGGATTTGACAGTGCATAATCAGTTCTACTAACCAAAGCTTTATTTGGAAATTTACATTTTGTACAAATGGAATTATATAATGCTTAAAATACTTTGTCACTTTATAAGCAAAATGTATAGCACTTAATTTGTTTATACTGTAACCCATGTGTTAAATGCTTTTATCAATTTAAGAATAAAGATAGTTACTAAAGCTGGTGTAGTAGTATAATTTTTTAAAAGTACTCCAATATATGTACTTGATTTTAAAACAAGTTAAACTTACAAATCTGTGGTTTTAGTTTCAAATCTATATTTGATGGATATGTTTAACATTAAACAACGTTTATATTAGAATGGCTTTTTTGAAGATTAGGCAAATGGAACCTATTCTTGAAATAAGCTCTCGTGCCTAAAGTGATAGGAAATTAAAAACTGACTCAAATGTAAATGTATTCTTCAAATTTTACAAAGAAAATGGTTGTTAAAAAGAAAGAATAGGTTCTTTTTACATTTAAAATAAGAATTTATAAAACAGATTACTTAGAAATAGCATTCTTAGGGTCTTTGAACCTAGCTAGCCTTTTGAGAGACAAATGTCTTTATGTAAATCCATACAATCAGAATAGGTTTTAAACTATTGGAATTATTTTCATCACCTGCCTTAACAGCTTCCATAAAATAACCAGTTTACCTTGGTAATCTGGGCTTTTAAATATTATCAGAAAAAACTGGCATGATCTAAGATTAAATCAATTTACTGCATTCAGACAATTTATAGAAAAGCTTAGGATAGAAGGGAAAGGTTGGTGTGAAGAAGGCTCAGTCTTGAACTAAGTCTTTTAAGAAGATGTAATTTTCCACCCCATACCTGGGAACAATCTGGTGGGACTGGTTTTAATGTTACCATGCAGCCAGAAAGATTTTACCTGTTTGCTGATGCCCAACTTTCCTTTGAAAGACATATATGATATATAAAAAAGACACAAAGCCTTTTTCCTTAGAATCATTAGTCTAATAAAATATAAGGTTAATATCCTCGTTTTAAATTGGGGAGAGACAATTGTAGAAAGTTTGAGGAGCAGAAAGCTACTTGGACAATAAAGGGCAAATATAGGGAAGATGCTACAAACTTTGGCCATTTGCCTTTGGCTGTGAAAAGGTAAAAGCATGTGTGTGGCTTTGGAACATTGCTCTGTGTATAACATGCCAACAATTTCTTTTAAAGAAGTCAGCATCTTAAAGGAACTGCAGTCCCAGAGAATTTATTAAGTGCTACCAAAGCAGATTATAAAATGGGATGAAACATTCTAATATTTTTTTGACTTCCAAGAAGCCAGTTCTGATTGAGAGTTCCAAATATTTAAAGTTTTTTCACCTTTTGATTGTATTCTTGTACCTACAAAAATATATGTGATAATACTTTGTGGGTATACTTACCTGATACTAAGCCAGAATTAATGAGGATATATTTATTGTAAAGCCCTAATAAATTTCAAACCAATAACATGGTTTCTCTTAGAAGTAATTTTATACATTTATAACTTAACAGAAAAATAGAAATCACATTTAAGTTACACAGTAATTCAAAGGTCTACAAAATTTAATTGGCACATCCTGCCTGACCATGTTTTGGTTTCCCAGCTCCCATTTCGAAAGCATATTCTTGAATCATCTAAGTAGAGTTGACAAGTTTAATAAGTTCTTAAGAGTACTCATATGAACACTGTGCTCTTGGTGGTATAGTCAACTGAGTCTACATGTTACTTTCACAAGATTTCTTAATAGTCGTAGGAACAATGAAAAATCTTAAATGCTTTTTTTAACGTTAACTATTTAGAATCTTGCTTTAAAATTCAAGTTCCATATACAGATGTCCTCATTTGTCTTTGCTTTGGAACCAAGTTCTGTGATTTACAGTTAACATAAACTTGGCACAAGTTTTTGCTTGTTACCCTAATGCAGTTCTGTAAATCCAAAATATTGTTTTCCCAGAGCAATTTTCCTAATCCTGTAGAAGTTGGCATTGCCCAGTTTTAGCCCCTAGATGGCGATACTGCAAAGATCCAAGTTCTCCCTATGTACTTCAGCAAAACCACCTCTGTAGTAGGCACTAATAGTGCAGTTTCTCAAGCTATCTGGAATAAAGGACTGGGTTTTTATTTTCAGACTGTTGTAGTGCCCATATTTTTTCAAAAGACAATAAATGAATTCCTACACAAATGAATTTTAAAAAGACATACAAAATACAAACCCCAATTTTTTTATTAGATTCAACAAAATTATTCTAAGTTGCTTTAAAAGTTTCTAGACGCTTCCTATCATCTCCTACAGACCAGTAACGTGTTAGTAACATACAATGCAGGCACTGGTCTGAAGACCACACTGAGTGGCGCTGAAAAAATTCCTTGAGAGTGCATCCCATCTGGTCAGTAGAACCTTGTTCAAACGTGGCTTCATTACCACTAGCTGGGTAGCTGTGGAAAGGTAACTTTCTAAGCCCCAATTTACTCATTTAGATCAGGTAAATAATACCTATGCTTAGGCTTTTTATGAGAATTCAATGTTCATGTACTAACCTCTCAGGGAGCACTCAAATGTTAGTAGAAACTAATATAATTGGTTTTTTCTCTCTGGTTTCTGCTTAGTCATCTTACTGGTGTTCCCGCCCCCCTCTCCCCACCATGAATAGAGACAATGTATTCATGGATTCAGTTGATTATCAAACTCTTAAAAGGAACTTGAACCTTGTTTGATGGCCCTAGTGAAAGCACAGCTACTTGGGGATCTTTGACAAAATCCTGTCCTCTCTCTGGGAAGTTTACCCTCTTTCACTGAGCTGGCAGCTTTAGTAGGTGTAGGGAGGACTACAAGAAGCAGTGAAGGAATCAATGGGTACCTCAGCACCCAGACAAGTCTGCAGTCAGATACTACCATGCCCCACATGTTTGAAGAATTGCAGAAACACTGTGCTGCCAGCTCCAAGTTGAGGTTATTACAAAACCCAGGAAAGGCTGGCACGTAAACTTCACTAGGCAAGATCAAAGATGTTATAGCTACCATTTATTGTGACCTTACTATGCCAAACGTACATGGCTTCAATCGTTAACAATCCTGACAAATGAATCATTTTAGAGATAAGGAAACCAAGGTTCAGAGATGTTAAGATGTTTAATCACTCAATGCCAGTTACTGGTTGGTTATAAAATGCTAGCCAAAAACTTGTGTTCTTTATCACTGTATTTACTACATCTGGAAGCACAACTACTCTGGCTATGGTGTCCAAAGTAGTCTTTAAGTGACTACTAGTGAATGGAACAAAATCAAATTAATAGTCGTTTTGAAAGTTGCAAGAGCTGTAAAGTCTAAACTATCAAAAAGTACCTAAATGAAAAAGCATAACTACCATACCAGAGAAAAGTGACTCCCACCATGAAAATGTCACTGAAGGTAATTTTTAAATCTTGGCACACCATATCCACAATTTTAAAAAGTTGGGTCCAAAAAGCCTATATATCTGATAAAACTATCCATATCGACGAAGGCTTGAAGATTGAAATAAAGATCATGTAATATGCTCATTTTGGTCAACATTATAAGAGTTTCAGCTTCTTTCCCAAAAAATTCCTGAGATAATATGCAGCAATTCCATCCATGTGCATTTTACCTTTCTGCCCCGAAGAGGAAAGGCTTAAGAAACAAATGTAAAACCACTCCCTTAAAAAACTGATGTGCTGGTGGTAAGAGAGGGGAAAAAAAGCAAAAGAATTAAGGTTTTATAAACCAGAGAGTGTTTTGTTTCTGTTAGGTAAAGGGATTTCTTCATATGTTATTTTAATAAAAGGGAATTTCATAGGTAAAAACCAATATTCAAAATTATAAAACAAATAGAACTGTCTGTGTATAATCGTTGCATCAAAAATCTGCAAGAGACTCAACAGAAATTCTTTAGTTGACAAATGTGGTTTGAAGGGGTAATAAAATCTTCTTATGGCTAAAGCAAGAGTCTTGTTTTCTGCCGGCCCAAAAATAGATGTTTCATTTCCCAAATAAGTAGGTTCTCCACTGTAAAGAAATATTCTTGTGTAGTTGGTTTCTATCTTCTTGAACTCTGCTCCAAGTTCAGCCAACTTCGTATATGTCCTTAATACAAATTTGGAACAGTCATAGGATTCAAACCATGTCTCCGCCCCTTTTTCTGGGCTGGCTTGGACGGTCCATGTCTCATAATAAATCCCTGTTTCATTGTCCTGTTTTACCCACTTTGCCATTTCGTTAAACGTGTTTCCTAGTCAAAAAAAAAAAAAAAAATGACGTGAACATCAAAGCTAATCATGTTAGTTTTAAGTAAAATGTTTTAGCCAGATTAAGGCCATGAATGTACATGAATAAAAAATAGTTTTTGAATTTCCAAATCTGCATCTTGCAATAGTAATCTAAGCTCAGCCAACTTTTATTCCACTTTTCAAGGCACAAGGTATTTCTGAATTGTAAATATTAGATGTGATAGAGAAGTCTTATATATGAATTCTATAATCATTTAAGCCAGTCAAAAGCAAAATTATACACATGTAGAAGCCCTCTTTCTCTACCCTACTCAATGAATTGGATTCAGAAGCAAAAGAGAAAAGGAGAGCAAGGAAAAACTGGAAGATGAAAGAGTGAACGGGGCAAAGAATATAAGAAGAATTGAGGGTGACATGCAGAGCTGCTCTGTTGGAAAGCATGGTATGCACACAGCATGCATGGCTGCCTGAGGAACGGCTACTCTGGAAGGCTGGTCTACTAATGCGATAAGAGAAAGCACTGTACCACATCCACCTTGAATATTTGGTATTTTCCTCTTCTCCCTGTACTTGCAGCTGTTGGGATTCTGCTTACAACTTTTCTACCCACCACACAAATTCTTCCAATGAATACACTAAAATGGGAAATGTGTTTTGGCCAAGTACATGGACTATATAGACTCCTGGATGGCTAACATTCTCTCCTACCACCCTGTACCAGAGCAGAGGAATCTCTCTAAATGTTAACAAAACACTGTCCTTTGCATGGTTACAACCTCATCTGGGCATTTATAATGCCTAAAAGGTCTCGGCCCCAACGTTTTGTCACTGTGTGTGAAACTTTTAGGTTACTCCAATTTGAGTCCATGAAATCAACACTTTATGTCCTTGAACATGAATAGAATGGCTGCCTTTATTGATTTTATGGAATTAAAATTGTGGAATAATAAAACTTGTTTCGTTAGAACTGGCGATACTGTTCTTAGTGTTCTTCAACTCAAAAAAGCCAGTGCTGTAATTGGCCTAGAATGAAAGAAAGTGTAGCTATTTATTACACCAAGCATTGATAAAAGAAAGGGACTTTCATATTGCTGGAATGGTTTGGGACACATCAATTAGAAGAAAACACAGTATATAGTTAAAGATTAGGAAAGGGCACAATATATAGTTAAAAGAGCCCCAGATTACATATAAGAGACACCAGTTATATCCCTGGTTCTACATCCAGCTCTCTGTGACCTTGAGAGACAGGTAAGTCATGCTACCTGGCTGAACCTCAATTCTTTATATGTAAAATGAAGAGTATCCTAGCTTTCCCCCAAACATACTCCAAAATGCTTTGTGAAGAGCTATACAAGTGGAAAGCATGATAATTTCTTCAAGTCCTGTGGTTCAGTAATAATTCTTACAACAGTACTTCCATTACATTTCCATTTTTTGGAGAACAATGGTTTACAGTGTAGAGCTCTGTAAATGATATGGCCAAGCTCTCTACCTATAAAAGCCTCATCCCCATCCTACACACAAGGCAATGAGTCAATGAGGTAAAATATGACCAAAGTCACATAACCAGTTTCTGATAAAGGTTCTGCTGAACTCCTTTATCAGTAACTAAATGCAACACATGCAGCAAAATTCCAACTGTTTCAGCAACTTTCATACACATCTAAAAGAAAAGAAAACCTCAGAGATAAAATATTTAAGTTCTGAAGAGGCCTCAAATGCATAAGATCATATATGTTTGGGGAGGCAAGTCAGCCAAGTGGTTAAAAAATGGTCTATTGACTGACAAGTTCCCTAGTTGTGGAACTTTTACCTCTTTGTGCCTCAGTTTACCCATCTGTAAAATGGGAAAAGTACTTCTGGAACTACTGTACTTCTGGAACAAAAATGACCCCTATAAAGCAGAACATTACTGAAACGCCTCAATGAAAATAATTTCTGTCATTTAGATATTTATGCGATGATCAAATACTGCCATATTTTTTTTAAACTTACCTGATATGGTTGCTACATGAACTAACGTCCCATTTTCCTTCCAGTGACTATCATCAATTCCTTCAAAGAAGCAGGCAGCTCCTTGATTACACCAGAAAGGGGCATTCATTTCAGGTCGAAGGTGGGGAAATGTGCAGTTTCCAAGCTGGAAAAGCTCATACCATTCCATTGTGTAGTTCTTGCCAGTTAAAGTACTCCTGAATCCAATGGCATCATGCATAATTTTCTGTGTAAAGATCATACATGTATAAAAGTATTTGTGAAGCAAACACTGTTCCGAGAACAAGATGGGAGAAAATGTGATGTGTCACAACTGCGTATCAAGTAGAACAGCTGCTCAGCTGTTCCTTCTTCCGTGTTGCTATTCTTGCTTCCGCTCTGAGGCCCCTCAACTTCTGGGCCCTCATCAGCTGTCCTTTGCATGGTTACAACCTCATCTGGGCATTTATAATGCCTAAAAGGGCTTGGCCCCAATGTTTTGTCACTGTGTGTGAAACAACTGCAGTTGGCCACTGCAGCTCATCTCAGATAGGAAGGATGTATGCTATGTAGACACATTCATAATCTCCTTATAGCTTATATTAGTATGAGAAGCCTCCATGCCACAGTCTCAAGAAGGAAGTCTATGTACATTACAGGTGATGAGAGACTCAAATGGTGAGCTAACCTGGGAAAAGTGCATATAACAGACAGGGCCTGGAAATGAAGTGTCTCCTGTCTTCCCTGTCCCTTTCTCGGGCCTCCTCCCTTCTTACTTTCCAGGAGCTGGGTACAGGAGTTGGGTTTGGATTCAGAATATTAAAAAGGATGAGAGCAACTGTATCTGTTATTGTCAGGATCACAAAACCTGATTTTTTTTGACTAATTTTAAATTGCGATTATTCCTTCGAATCCACTTAATAATGACATCATTTAATTAACTAAAGTTATACGATCATGACACATCCTTACCAAGTGTCCCAGGAGATCTCCATATTTAAATTCCCATACTGGGGCTTGTAACCGAAAGACTTCAATAACGTCATTAGCTTTGATAACTGGGATAGGCGAGCCAGTTGGACAGAAAGTGTATTTAGCTTGACAATAAGGATCTGGTGACGGACGGAAGGAAAAGCGTCTAATAAAGAAAAATAAACCATCAACTTAGATTCTAAGGAATTTGGTTCTTCTGGCACATTTTAGAATCCAGATTTTAATTTCACTGTCAATAACATTGTTAGAGAAAACAAAGCTTAGCCTATAGTGTATAAATATACATTTTATTTGTTTTCCTGTGAACACATTCCAATGATGTCTTTGTAGCCAATGATACATTAAAAGCACTTTGATAAATGCACGCTTACCTGTTTCCTGCTCTCACTGTGGGAATTTTGGAGACGGGGACCATATCTTAAAATGTGTATAGCTCCAGATCTTATTTAGTAGACGAATATTTACTGAATAAAGGAATATTTTTCAAATGATATTTAACTTCCCAAACAATCTATACACTAAGATTATTGTTCAAAGGTAATTATGATTAAGTAGAACATATTTTCTATTTTAAGAATTAGCCAACATTCCTTAAACCAATATTTACTAGGATATGCTATGTGTAGGATACTATAGGAAGAAGGGAAACAAAAATTATATTACTGTTCCTTTCCTCAAGAAGCTTTGGGTGGGGGCTGGGAAAACATTAAACAATGAAGCACTGTGTGGTAAGTGCTAAACCAAAGAAACATATAAAGTCCTTTGCGCACAAAAGAGAGAGAAATAATTTTTACCTGTGTGGATGGGTGGGGGTGAGGAGGGCAAAGAGAGATGAAGACCCGGTCTAGGTTTTTAAAATACTTTTGAAGGGTAGGAAAGAAAAAGAGAGTAAACACTTTTATAAGACAAGCACAGCACGCGGAAGTCTCAGCTAAATAAGACTGGAATTCAGGCTTCAAGGCAGGAGCGGTGAGAAGAAAGGAAGGCAGGGACTGTCATTCTGCATTAATAGAGAGTGAACCACACCCTTTGAAGTCCTACTACTGGGAGGGTTAAGCCCAGGAGTGAACTTACAGGATTTTAAGTAGCAGATCTGACATGACTGAATTTGCTCTAAAATAAACTTTATTTTATGAATTAGAACATGGTAGGGAGAGGGGCCAAATTAAAGCTGAGAGGTCAGTTAGGTTACTATGATAATGAAACAAAAGCGGCAGCAGAAAGCCATGGCTATAGGACTATAGTTGAATTCAACTCAACAGACACTGGTCACCTTCCATATTTGACACTGGGAGAGAAAGATGAAAGAAGCTACCTCTATCTGTCCTCTTAGAACCCTAGATCTCTAAGGTTCTAGCCAGATGTACTGGTTTAGAATCCTAACACATCAACAAAAATTTATATTTTAAAAAGTTACCAAAATCTTGATGTTAGCCAAAAACATCAACAACCTTCCTGAAAGTTTACGCGATTCGGGTATACTTACCTGTTTGATAGGTGCTTACCTGGTTTTAAAAAAATACATAATTACATATAGGTCTCACCTGCCCACAGCAAAATCTACTTTAGGTCAAAGGCAATTTCAAAAGCATAGTTTATCCAGCAATCCCTCTACTGGGTATTTACCCCCAAAGACTTGAAAACCTATATCCGAAAAGATATTTGCATACTGATGTTCACAGCAGCATTATTCGCAGTGACCAGGACATGGAAGCAATCGAAGTGTCCTACAATAAATGATTGAATAAAGAAGATGTGGTACATATATACAATGGAATATTACTCAGCCACAAGAAAAAAGTGTCCTACGATAGATGATTGGATAAAGAAGCTGTGGTACATATATACAATGGAATATTACTCAGCCATAAGAAGAGATGAAATACTGCCATTGCGACAACATGGATGGACCTCGAGATAATCATGCTAAGCGAAATAAGAAAAAGTTGAAAATCACATGATATCACCTACATGTGGGAAATAAACCTAAAAGCTATAAATGAACAGGACAAAGAGAGACAGTGGACATGGACAATAAATAGTGGTTACCAGAGGGGAGCAGGGAGGAGGAGGAAAGAGATAGTATGAATAAAGCAAGGGGTGGGTGTCAAATATGAAGTGATGGAAAGAAATCTATGGGAGGTGAACACACAGTGTAAACATAAATATGCATTACTGTTAAAGTGTACAGCTGAAACTTACTGGATTTCGTTAACCAATGTCACCATAAAAATTAATTTTTTTAAAAGCATAGTTTAAGTGTGAACTTAACAAAGATAAATTTTATTTTGAGGGGATTAGATGGAGGCATATACTTAATTCTTGAAACTTAAACATAAGAAGTCAGTCAATAACTTGCTCTTAAGTGGTTTTGGATTTACAATCTCTTCCTTGTTTTATTGAATATTTAATTTTTACTTCTTATGAACATTTTACTAACATTTTCCAGAAAACCAGTTTCAACCTCAAACTTCTCTTTTCATGTGTACCAAGCAAAACAAGTGGTACAAACCATTCAATGAGCAGAATACACTAATATCCAGGTTTGACAACAGCTGGCATTTACTACATTTAATCCTCCCAACAAACCTAAGGCAAGTGCTACTACTATTTCTACTTTGTCTCAGGACACGGGGGCTCAGAGATGCAAGTAACTTACTTGCCTAAGATCACACAGCTAGTCACGGTGGAGCCTGATGTGATCCGTAGTAGTCGGAATCCAGAACTCGCTCCCGACCACGGGATTATTTGAACTCATTACTTTGTCATCCAAAATAGCTGTGCGTTTTCAAAAGCTGCTGGCCTTTCCCTTGCCTGACGTAGACACCGTGTTTTCTGTTTAGCCATGTGACAGTGACAGGCGGTGTAAACATTTTTCTAGGTCAAAAGCGAGAATCAGCTTTATAGGTTTACAGCCTCTGCACCCAAATTCTGACCACTGTCCTACCTCCAGGATAAAGACTGGACAAACGAGGTCACCAACCTTCCCGGTTTCCCCGGGATCGAGGGAGCAGGAGATTACAGGGACACGCGACTTTTAGTGCCCCAAACGGGAAGTCCCGGCGAACCAAGGCGAGTTCGTCATTCTGTAAATTCTGCCAGAGGTTACGCTAATGACGGTGCAGGACACACCAAATGTGAAATTCAAAGTCTCCCTACACTACTCAATGAGTCTAAAAGTCAGCGATAAAACGTTACTCCCTTTTCCTTCCATAATTCAGGCCAGCGATGAGCCTAAGTCGCCTCGTCACTGGCTCAAGAGGGAAAAGCGTTCAGGGAGGCGCAACAAGCGGCCACTCCCAAGCTCTCAACTTCGTTCTACGATTTGCTCAGTGTCGCGAGGGGCCGGCCGCGTGACCGGAAAAACAAGGCCCGCGCGCG